ATTGAGCTTCCACTAACCTTTTTGTATATACAAAGTTCATCTTCATTTTGTGAAAAGTCAAACTCTTTGTTCTTTTCATCAAAATATTGATTCTAACTCCTAGATGCTTGCTTAAGTCCATAAATGTATCATTGTAATTTGTAAATCTTATTTGCATGTTCTTTGGTTACAACACTATCGAGCTATGTTATGGATATATCCTCATTCAATTTCCTATCAAGGAAAACAGTTTTGACATCCTTCTACCATATCTCATAATCATGACATGTAGTAATTGTAAGGATAATTTGAATTAATGTAACCATTGCTATTGGTGAAAAAGTTTCATCATAATCAACACCTTATTTCTAATGATACGCTTTTTCCACTAGTCTAGTTTTATACGTATGTACATTTCCATCCATGTGATACTTTCTCTTAAAAATCCATTTACATCCAATAGGTTTGACACTTTCAAGTGGATCAACCAAAGTCCATACTTGGTTGTGTACATGGATTCCATTTTGGATTGCATGGCCTTATATTATTTTTTGGAGTCAATGTCTAACATTACCTCTTCATATGCATTAGGTTCATCGTCATATATAACATATGTCTTCATGTGTAGAGAAAAGAGGGTCATATCTTTTCAAGCTCCTGATGAATCCTCTTAGACCTAAAAAGTTCCTATGTATCAATTTATGAGATGGTTACAATGCTTTGTAACCCATCTACTTGGGGTTTTTCTAGTAGAGTGTCAATTTGTGAGTCTTCTCGAATCTTATCGAGTTTAACTTTTCTTTCACTTGGTTCTAGCATCTATAAATTCTTTCTTAAGGAATACAACATACCTAGCCATGAACACCGTTTTTTTTTTTTTGTGGTTGGTAAGAGTAATATCCATTTGTTTCTCTTGGATATACATAAATTTACACTTTATTAATTTGAGCTCTAGCTTGTCTCTATCCAAACATTTGACATATGCTTCATAGGCTTAAATCTTAAGAAAAGAAAAATTTTATTTCATTCCTTTCTATATATCATATGGAGTCTTATCAATAGACTTTGTTGAAACCCTATTCAAAATAAATATCACGGTAAAAAGTGCATATCCCCAAAATGAAATAAGGATATCGTTTTAACTCATCATGGATCGAACCATGTCTAATAGCATCTTGTTCCTTTTTTCGAACATATCATTCATTTGTGGTGTTTCGAGTGGATCCATTAAGAGAGAATCTCATTCTTTTTTAAATGATCTAAAAATTTAGTACTTAAGTATTCTCTATCTCGATTTGATCTAAGTGCCTTAATAGTTTTGTTAGTTTGTTTCTCAACTTTAAACCTAAATTCCTTAAACTTTTTGAACACTTCAATTTGTGTCTCATCAAGTAAACATAACCAAAACTCATCGGTAAAGGTTATGAAATAATCATATCCTCCTCTTACTAGGATGTACATTCGGCCACATACATCACTATGTATAAGGCCTAACAAATCAATAAATATGTCTTATTTTCCATAAAAATGGCATTTTTCATTTTTTCAAGTAGATAAGATTCACAAGCATCATAAGATTCATAATCAAATGATTCTAGATATCCATTTTTGTGTAGTTTGGATATTCGATTTTTGTTTATATGGTTAAGTCGATAATTCCATAGATAGTTTTTATTTAGATCATTTGTTTTGAGTATTTTTATATTTATGTTACAAATAGGGTTGTCTATATTCAAAACATATAAACATTATTAATATCGGTATTTTCATATAAAACATCATCTTTATAAAAGGAAAAATCTTTGTTCTTAAATAAAAATGAAAAACCATCTTGGTCCAAATAAGAAATGGAAATGATAATGTAATAATAGTTTCTAAGTGTAAGCACAAGCTCGGATCATAGTGCTAACTCATAGGTGCCTATTGCTAATGGTAACCCTCTTGAAGTATTACCCACACGTAGGTCAACCTCCCCGAAGTAATTTTTTTTGCTTATTTTAGTCCTTTCATATTTGTGTAAATATATGCACCACATCTAGTATCAAATACCTATGATGTGGGACTAGAAGTAGAAAAGTTTACTTTAATAACATAAATGCTTGAGGTGCTTTTAGAACTCTTCTTTTATACCTCTTTAAGGTATTCTTTATCGTATATCAAATATAGTATTTTTTTCATATTGGAGGACATTCCTCTTATTCATTTTCTAGTCAAGGAAGTTTGTGCCACTCAAGGCATTACTTTCATTAATCACCGATCATCTCGATGTATTACCCATCATACTATGTAATAACTTTGACAAGATAGAAAAGTGTAAGATTTGGTTAATTGAATTACATAAATAAATCAAAACATAAATTAAAAAAGTAAAATCTATGTTTACTCTCATTATTTTCTTTAAGTTCTATAACCTTCAAAATAAGACTTGAAAAAACTTTTTGATTTATTTTTATTAGTAGGTTAGGATCTCATCCGCTAATATGCATTAACCTTAAGTTATCTCAATAAGTCGTACGTGAAGAATTAGGTAGGTAACTCCTTACCAATTGTATCTAATGCAATTCCTAATCTCATTAGCATGACAACTTCTTGTCATCTCACATTTATGTGAATACCAATCTTTATCTATAAATTCATTGGATCTTGAGTTATCTCATCAAACCCAACAATTCACTTTAAGTTAAACCCAAACATTCGAAGAAATCACATGGCTTATGATTTGATTCCCTCAAGGAAGAAGTGACCTTGAGTTATCTCAACAAGCCAACAACGACCAAGAGAGTTCTCTCCTTATAACATTGAAAGGCAATTAACTTGATATTAATTTAAAGGATTTAATGTGCTAGGTTTCATCCAAGCATGCATACTAGTCATCAATCATATTAATCATATCATGTATACTATTAATCATACAATAAATGCATATATCTCATATATGACTTAAAAACCAACGAATAGTAATGGATCTCTACTTCTAGTCTCCTTGAGCCATAAAAAGACTAGTAGGTCAAATACCTAGGTGAAAAATTATTATAAATTCTTTGGAATTGTCTTCTTTTCTTAGCTTTTTCTCCTTGCATCTACTCTACTATTTTATCTTCTACTTTTACATTTCTTTGAATAAGAAACCTCAAGTTACATTCGAGAAGAGTAGGATGAGAAAAGAAATACATCGAATAATAGAGAAGTCAAGACACATAGGCTCTATTTAACCAAAAATTATGAACATACATTCCCAAAAACTAAGTCGACTCATCTATACCATTGACACATGCTTCAATCAACTTGATACATGACATACTAATGAAATATATTTTATTTTAATCATAATTATAAATTCAAGTTTTGGTCATTTTATAAAAATTTCACTAAATTTTAATTTTAAAGACTATTCGAGCCTTGGTTCCACCTTATGCCAATAAGCTTTTAGGCCTACAAGGCCCATGGCCTACCACACTCTAGCCGGCTAGTGCCTAGCATCGGCCAACAACCGCCACTAGCCCAACGCTCTCATGTGTGGGCTTGGCTTGGCGTTGGCCGGTGCCCTACATTGCCCTAGCGCCCGTAGGCTAGTGCTTAGCATTGGCCTAGTGCCAATTGGCTTGGCACGCTTACGAGCACGTGGCCCGGCATCCGGCCTCTAAAGCACTCGAGCACCTAGCTTGGACATGTGTTGCCTTTGCATGCACCCAACATGCGCTTGACATGCGTGAGGCATGCTTAGCTTGTTGTGTGCCTAACACGTGACCGGCCTAGCATACGTGAGGCACGCTTAGCCTATTATGCGCCTAAGCACACGGCCGCCTCTAGCGTGTAGGGCCCGGAAGGCCTAGAATGTGTGAGGCATGCCCGGCCTATCATGTGCCTAGCACGCTTCTAGCTCGGCCGAAGGCTCGGCATGCATAAGGCACACTTGGCCTATCGCACATGACCGGCTCGGCCCCTAGGTCGTATGTGCGAGTGTCAACATACAACATTGGCCTCACGTGCACCCACTTATTTCTAAACCAAAAATCAATTTTATAAAATATGAAAAACATTAAATTTATTATCGGGAATTGATAATTTAGGTAGTTAATCACAATTAACAAAGCGTACGATTAATGATTCAACGGAGGCTCGATACTAATTGATGGATCATGCATCCTATGGAGGTGCGGAATAAAATAAGAATATTCCTCCATCCAAGGCTCTCAAGATCAAGTCGTTGAATCAACTAATCATACATGTATGAATTAAAAGCGTAAGTAAAGAATTACCTCTTGCAGGTGCGAGATTTAGCCTTTACAAAAAAAGAGTCATCCAAGTGCTTGGTCTCTATCGATAATTCACACATATTAAACACCCACAAAGAAAGTCATAGAATTCGTAGAGTGCTAGCTTCAATATTTCGTATAGTTTACTTTTCTCTTAAAAATCAAAATAGGGTTTATGAGCCAACTATTGGCTTTTTTGGGAAAAGGTGTGGCAACTAGGGTTTTTGGGAGAAAACATTTTTCTCTTTATTTTTCTTATTTTGCTTGTGTATGCTCTAGCTTCATCTTCCCTTGATGCCACCTCTCTCCTTTATTTATATTATTTTTTGATATTTTAATTATGAGTTTTATTTAATTTGAGTAGAATATGACTCATAAGATTACAAAGTGGATATTTGTTAGATTCAAAATTAATAGCAATCATTGATAAATTTTTAAAAGTACATATACTCAAATAAAAAAAAAAGTATATACACTTAATAGGAAAAAAAAAGTTCATATACTCAAATAGAAAAGAAACAGTACATCTACTAAATTAAAAATAAAGTAAAATGTTCATGTTGACATGACGAACATATCAGACGTGTTAATTTAACTACACTATTGTGAGCATGAATCTAACAGACACACTTGAATTAAAATATAAAAAATAAAAAGTTCACCAACTAAATATCTAATAATCTCACAAATAATCGTAAACGATATTTTATGCAGAATCTAATTATTGAGTACCCAAAGTTGAATGGGGGGCTATGTGGGGCATCCTTAAGTGGGTTTCTTGCTTTCAACTTTAGTAAAATCCAGGGTTTTCTTGCCTTGCAACTTGTTAGTTAGATAGTGCTTACTGTACTCTCCATGATTGTATGTCCTATACTTGCATGGGTTGTTCTCATCCACCAGTTCTGGAATTGGTCCAAGCTCTGTTTCATAGCTAGGGGCATAAAATGTGGCAATAGAGAGTCTGTCTTTTTCCTTGTGAGTCACTGCTCTGTGTTCAATACTCTTGTATTTTCCATTTGTTAAGACCTGTACATGCAGAAAATTAGTGAATTGGATAACCTCAATTCCGGTTAAGATGGAAAAAGAAAATTAAGTCCAGGTTTACTCTTCTTACTTCTAAAGTGTCACCAACGTTGATGACAAATGCATTTGGAATAGGCTGAATTGACACCCATTTGTTGTCTTTAAGGATTTGGAGCCCTACTGGACTACCCCTCTCTTGCTGCAACACTGTAAGGGCACTTCCATCTGAATGAGGACTAAGACCTAAAACAAGGTCCGGTCTTGCACATGGTGGGTAATAGTTCATCCTTAAGCCTTGCACAGCCACCCCAAACATCTCTTCAAAAAAATCTGCTCTCAAGTTTAGTGTCATGGCTATACATTCAAGTAGATGCTTACACAGCTTCCTCACTTCCACTGAATAGAGCTCTATAGTTTCACTGCAAAAAATACATGGGACATAAGTTAAGTGAATCGGAGACATGTCCGATTAAAATTCTTTAGGAAATAGAAATTTCAGCGCACTGTGACCTGAACTTTGGTGGCTTTGATGGCCATAGTTTTGGGATCCTTCTAGAGTGGGGCCGAAACCCAAGCGCAAACATATTACACCAGTCCAGTTTTTGGTCCTCCGAAAATACAAAGGCCTGTCCATATCCCTGAACAGCCCCTTGCACTATTGCATACTTCTGCTTCTCCTCTAAAGGCAGCATGAAGAAATCCTTGACCAACTTCTCAGTGCTCTCCAGCAAACTCAGATCAATCCCGTGGTTAATCACCTGATTAAAAAAAAAAAAAAAAAAAAAAAAAAAAAAAAAAAAATCAAAGTTAGCTTTCATGTTCATATTATCATGAACTAACGAAAAAGGACGGGGAAAGGAAAACTATCAACTTGTACCTGAAAAAATCCCCACTCCTCGCAAGCTCTTGTCAGCTGCAACATCTCACTTTCGTATTCATCGTTGTTGCCTTTGACAAGCCTTGATAAATCAATGATGGGCACAGTATCAGGAAATGGTGAAGCTGTGCCTAGTGTTGGTCTTTCTGTCATGTCCCTAACAAATCTTTCAGGAATTGTTGTTGGCTTAGCCTTTCTCAGCTCTTGAACATCGTCAAAAGGGACAAGGTTAATTGGAGAAATAGGATCATGAGCCATGGAAACAGAATTTGGAAATGACTCAAAAAAATTAGTGAAACCCCTAAGAAGTCACTTGGTAGCTTCACGCTAAGACAACTCTGCATTTTATAGAAGGAGAAAGTGCAGTTTGCGCCTAGTGTAGTTGTCTACTATGCGTGGACCCATAATATTACTTCATACAGCACACCTAAACTCTTACGAAAATCCAAAGAGTAGTTGTCTATTATGCGTGGACCAATAATATTACTTCATACAGCATGCCTAAACTCTTATAAAAAACCAAAGTCTATGCCTTGCGCTGGTCACAGGAATCTGCAGAATCAATTAGCCAAAAGATTCTCCTTCAAAGGGACAAAACAAGTAGAGGAGCTAAGGAAAAAAAAAAAAAAAAAAAAAAAAAAACTATGTATAAAGCTTGTAAAGAACAATGATTGCACTTGATTGACCAAATTAACACACATACATAATACCTAAATCTTGAAGTATAATATTTGTAATTGAAACACTAAGCCATTAATTTTGTGAAAAGAATCTGATCTTATGTCATTGAAACATTAACAGGTATCTTAGAGGGTTTTTAACCAGTTTTAAGCTAGATTTTACTGAAGGAATTCTATACTGTTGAACACAACATAAATACTGTGTGTTGCTGTACGAAAGTAATTCCTACCATTTGCTCCAAGTGTCTATAAGTAAAAACACTGGTGACTAACCAGTGGAGAAGGGACTGGCAGGACAATAAGTAATTCTGATCTTGAACAATAATGCACCAAAACCAGTACAAAGAGGACCATATTTTAGTCAGCTTAGAGACATGTTGATTTAATTACAATGGAGTACATGAACTTTAATTTTTTTCGATTAAGTACACCAATTTTTTTAAAACTATCAATCTAGTATTTTCATTAATTTTTCTAATTAATTGACAATGTGTCCGAATACTAAATTATATTTTTTCCTTTTTTGTTATAAGAAAATTTCTTCCCAAATTAATCTACCATTTTAAAATTTGACAAAAAATTAAAAAAAAAAAAAAGAAGTTATTTTTTAGTTATAAAATCCCTAACTGAATTTAGTTAGGCTTGCTATTAAAAAAATAATAATTAGTTAGGTTTTGGGTGTGGAAGTTGAAAGAAACACAAACTTTAGATTTTTCATCTAAAAGATTCGTTCGTGTTTTCCTTCAACTTTCACTCTAAAAAATCTAAAGTTTGTGTTTCTTTCAATTTTCACACTCAAAACCTAACTTATTATTATTATTATTACTATTATTATATATATAACAATCTAAGTAGTCTAGTTTGAAATTTTATATCTAAAAAATAATATTTTATTATTATTTATTAAATTTTGAAATGGTAAAATAATTTCGAGAGAAAGTTCATAAAATTATAATTTTGTATCCGAACACATCATCGGTTAATGAAGAAATTAATAAAAATATTTGATTGACAATTTTAAAAAAATTGATGTACTCAAACGAAAAAAATTAAAATTTATATACTTGATTGAGAAAATGATCAAATTATAATTTGGTATTGTGAGGATAACCGATATGTCATTAATTAACGAAAAAATTGATGAAATCACTTGATTGATATTTTTGAAAAACATTAGTGTTCTCAAATAAAAAAAAAAAATTAAGATTCATATATTTGATTGAAAAAAATTTTAAAATTAATATCATTATAGTACAGTTATTCCTATTATAATCTGTTCTGTAGGATACCGTGTGAATCCATTTGATAGGCTTAGAGCATAATTTTGTTTTATTTTTAAGCAAGTTGAGATTTTTTTTATTTGTGGCGGTTGTCTCCTGTTCCCAACCTCTAGCTACTCCAATGATAAATTTTCTTCCATCATCAAAAGATATAACACATGTACATCTTCTCATGGATTAGGCTAATGGTTCATTTATGAATTTGAGACAGATGTGGATGTGCATGTGCATGTGCATGTGAAAAAAATAAAAATAAAAATTGCAGGATGCGAGCCCCACCAAACCTATTTTAAAATTTGAACATTATTCTATGTTGAAATTATACTATGGTACAACTACCCTTGTAACTAATCAATTTGAAGTTGCTTATTCTTGATTTTAGAATAAGCAAGTTGAAATTAAATATTGTTTTGACTACTATAAGTATCTGTTTTATATAGCTATCGTTTTGCTATTATTGAGATTTTTAAATGTGAGTGTAGTTATAAAAATGCCTGATAATACATGCCACGAAAAGCTTCATTTTATAACTTTCAAAATAGGTTTTAAAAATTTTTCCAAATATTTTGTTTTCTTAGCTTTTGAAATAAACAAAAAATAAAAACTAAATAAGAAGAAGAAGAACAATAATAATAAACCATTAATTGCCAAACCCCCTGGGAGATTCTCAATTAACTGTCCAAGGCATCAACATTACAACACAGAATTACTAGGAACTGTTTTTGCCGCCAAAAGTTTTTTTAAAAAAAAATTCTAGAAAATAGAAAACATAAAAAGAATATGATCTCAAACAATTCTTTAAATTTCTAAAAAAAAAAATTACATATGACAACGATGAACCGAAAATTAAAATTGAGTGAAAAACAGTTAAATTTATTGGTAATTTAATGAAGGAATGAGTTTTTTTATAAAAAAAATTATTTACAATTGCTTTCTAAAGATAACATTTAAGAATGGCTAAATGATAAATCTCTAAATATTGCCTTCTCATTCCATGAGACATCATAAAGAAAAATTAAAAGAAAATAAAAACACGAAGAAAGCAAGGAAAAACACTCATTTAAATTTTCCTCATCGATAAATATTTACTTCATACTTACCATTTTGCTAATTTAGCTATCGAAAAGCTCTCTATAGCATATCTCTGAATCATTTTTGCGGGTTAGTATCACTATCTATTTCAAACATAATTGATTTAATTATATACTAAGAAAAGACAAAGAAGGTTTTAACACTAATCTACTTTGTACATATGCCTTATTATTAGAAAGTATAAGAACATATGACATAATTTATATTACAATTGATGAGTCAAAATTTATTACGCAACTATGACCATTTACGTAAGTAAGTTCAAATTTAATAAGATTTTAAGTAGGCCTAAACCAATGCATATTGATCAATGAACCAAGAGTTATTGTAATGATCATACAAGTTACAAAGTATATATTAATATTATAAATAATCATCAATGCTCATTACCCTAATCTGCAATAAATTTCGAAGATATATTAGCAGATCAATCAAAGCATAGACAGTGGTGTTGTATTACATTGTAGTAAGATGAAAATAACATTAAAAATAGCAATTGATTATTGTGCTTTAAAAAATTCACTCAAAATAATGAATTCAATAATAAAAAATGCTTTGCTTTCATACTGTGAGGAGGTATTCTATTGTAATTTTGTGTGAGGAGTTCCTAGAGAATAAGTTAAAGATAGATCAGCAGATTAGTCAAAGAACATGAAGCTAGTGTTGTCACTTATAAAAGTAATGATCAACAAACAAAATAGAACCAATGTAAATACCGATAAGCGTGAGACGAAGAGTAGACGAGTACTAGCAAAACACAAGTTTGAGTTACGGACATGTATGTGATCAAAATTCAAATAGATAGAGCTTTACGAGTTGTGTGATGCGAGAGTGGGAGATCCTTTAGAGAGAGTTTTGTTTAACAAAAGATTAAAAGTTTGCAAAAAATACCAAAAGTCTCCTCATAATTGACGCGAGGTTAGATTTTATAGTAGAAGAAAGATGTCTTTTGACTACTAGAATTGCACCACATCATCCTTGTTTGGATGGTGAATTTGAGCTCGACAAAAGAATTGGGGTTTGTTTTTTAAAGTTAAACTACTCGCAACATGCTAGCGAAATAGAGAATAATATATATATATATATGTGTGTGTGTGTGTGTGTGTGTGTACAACGTCAATAATCAATTTACAATCGTGATTAATTCTCCTTTAATTGATACTCGTTTTTTATTGAATTCTTAGTTATTAAGTTATGTTTTTTTTTAGAAATTATTTTCCAAAGAAATCTCCCTTTTCCTTTCATTGGTTTATTCTAATATTAAGTAAATAATTTGATTAACTAGTCTTTATAGATTTAACTCTTAGTCATCCTATCTACGAGTTTAAAAATAGGAGTAAAGTAATTTATTTTTTGTAGTGCTCGACACACACAAGTTGTCATGGAGTTCTAAGAAGTAGAAGACCGTCGTTCAATCAACAATTAAAGTAGAGTTCATTACTTCCATAATAGATGTTATGGCCTAGGAAAATTCTATCTAATTTGCATTTGGAGTAAAAGGAGAGCACAAAGGTATTTGTTAACAATCGGGTAGCCATTGAAATTTTCAACAATCCTCGTCTTTCATAGAAAAATTAAACATTTTAACATTAAATTGTATTTTTAAGGGAAGTGCGAGAAAATAGAAAAGTTTGATTGATGTACTACAAGACCGAAAATCAACTTGGTGATATTTTTACAAAAACATTCTCGAGCAATAGAATTGAGTTTCTAAGAGAAAAACTTAGAGTTTGCAACTACCGAGGCAAGGAGGAGTGTTACATATGTGTCTCGGCGATTGCCAACTATGCAAAAGTTGTTAATTAGATAAGCTTAGGTGGTCGCATATGTTGCATTTGAAAGCTTTAACCAATTCTTATGATTTCTGCTATGCATTTTTTAGTTACGTTTTTAATTGCTAAAAAGTAATTGTTATGGATTAGATCATGTAATCATGTTCAGCTTTTTTTATTGCTTTTCGGTTATTTTTATTGTATTTAAGTACATTTTGATTCAATGAAAAATATAGAGATTTGCAGCCAATTTTTTTGAAGTTTAAAGAGTTTTATTATATGAGTGATTTTTTCTTAAAGCCTCGAAGGCTTCTATTAATGCTATTTTTGTGATCAAAGTACTACACATGCACTACCAAAACCAATCAAACACGAAAAAATTTTGGTGTTGAAGAAAGAAATTAAAATATATAAATTGTTGTATAATGTCTAGA